CTAATATGTAAAATTATAATTAAAAGGAATTTAAGAGATGTCCAACTTGATTTTTAATGAAAAATATAAAGAATAAAAACTACAACTATAATGCTTTCTTTGGAGTTGTAGAATGGATCATACTTAACCTAAGTGATAATCATTTGGGACCTTGAAGCATGGAAGTGAAACATAAGAAAATCTAAGTGCAAAACCAAGATATTTGCCTCTTTTAGTCCAACACCTCACTTCTAGCACTATTTTAGCACCTCACTTCTAACACTATTTTAGCCAAAATCAAATCCCCTTAAATCTTACTGTAGCAAATATAAATCAAGTTTATACCAAAGCAAGTAAGTAGCCATCAAATTTCTAGCTAAATTAAGCTCCAACATTGATGCTTTTTCATTAAACTCACTAAAAAAAACCAATATTTAACTTATCAGAATTAATCACAAAATAAAATTTAGAAGTAATAATAATTACTTGAAGATAGTCCTTATATATATATATATATATATATATATATAAGGTATTTACCTTACCTGAAAACATCAACTAAGGCTTGAGAGCTAGTTCTCATGGTTAGTGAAAAAATTGAATCTTTAGCTTTCTCACCAATGCCATAAACTGGATAAGCCTTCACCTATTAAATCAAATTAAAGTAAAAAATAAAGAACTTTAAGCCATAGTTTAGGAGCTAAAACCCAGACAATATGCAAGTATGTATTACTTAGAAATTTTCCTTGCTTAAACCATTTATTAGATGGATTTAGCTCATTTGAATATTTCCTGTCCAAAACAAACCCATATTTTTATTCAATCATGACTAATGTATTACATTTTAAGCGGGAAATTGTATTGAAAGATGAATGTACCTCCATTCAAAATAATTTTAGGCTAAATTAATGTTAAATAAATAAAATAAATAGATTAGATACATTTATAGTTGAAGAGATTACTTAGATATATTTTACTATTACCAAAGTATTGATGTAAGTATCAATATGTTTTCTAAAACCCTCATTTTGAAAGATGATTAAAACTAACAAAGGAGAGGAGAGCAAATTAGTATGAACTCAACAAGAGATTTCTGCATTTTAGAAACTGGAGACTTTGATCAATCACATTCCAAATATCCAAAAAATTTAGCTTCTCTATATAAAAAGAAAAAAGAAAGACAAAAAAGAATCACAAAAGAATCATTAGGTGAACATATAAATAAAGTAATTCGATAAGTAGAATTGAGAACAGAGAGAGGTAACAGCTCATTATTCAATAATTAAAGACCTCTAATTACCCCAAGTTGAAAAGCTATATATGAGTATTATTATAAACTATAAGTCGTGTTTCTAATCATTTTTTTAATTTGTTATAGGCTTCAAAATTAAAGTGATAATACCTCACTATTTTTACTTTCATTTTAACATAATAACAAGACTTGACAAAAAAAAAAAACCTTTTGCAATAGGCTTAGAATGTGATAATTCCAAGAATGAAAAAATGACTAATGAAATACGAATTAGGGGAAAAAGGTATCACACAAACTTTTAAGGACTTCGATTATTAAGGAATAACACTTGAAAACATTTTGCACTTTTTTGTTCAACAAAGATGTATAATTGTAGTCATGAAACAATATTTATATTTCACATACATGTGTAATAATCGGGGGAAAATGCCAAATCTTTCTAGAATACATATTTTTCGAGAGAAAGGTTAATTAGATTCAAATTGTATTTACAATGTTTGTAAGGGAATGAAGTATGCATGCCAAACTAGTTTTCTTTGTCAGCTTATTATGGATCTTAGGGCACTGATCACATAAGGGGTGATCTCTAGTTAACAATCCTCTATATAAGTACATAGAAATAACATAATAGTCATCACTTGTTATTCATTTGCAATATCGAATACACAACTATAGAGTATGTGTTTGTAATGAAAGCAATTGTCAAAAACAATGATAATAAAAACCAAACTCGATTAGGTTAAAAGACCCAATATCTTTTTAAATGTTCAGAAAACAAATCTATCATTCGTAGCATTCTTTATGAACTGAGTAACATGATTTTCAATTAAACTTTTAATCAATATAAATAGTAAAAGTGTAAAACCATAATGGGAGACTCCATAGAGGATTGAGCAAATCAGACCATATTTTATATTGATTAATTACTAATATAATTTAATCTTTATTAGTTGGATTTAAAAACATAGCATGAGATTCTATAAGTAAGTCTTTATGTTATGCTTAGAGTCTATGTGTTTCTATATTTGCATAATAGTTTGATCGTATTTTGCTACTGAGTATAGCTTTGTTTGTGAGTATAGTAGCAATTGCTATTTCGTTGGATAAACAAAACATTTTACTTATCTAAAGGAAAATTTTTGAAATTGAGCTATTTTGAGAAAGTTGTAAAGTGCAGGAAATTGGACTCATATCATCAACAATTAAAAAGAGGGAATAGACATTAATATTTTTGGCAGAGATCATAAAAATCATATGCATAATTGGGAATAAAACATAAAAATATATAAATGAATTGCAATTTAAACTAAAAATAATAATAAAAAAGAAAAAAAAAGACTCACTTTATAAAAATATCATAATACTTGAGATCTAAAGTAAAGAACATTCCTTCAACATATTTTATAGCCATTAATGCTCTATGCACAGCTATCTAATTTGTAGACTGCAAAGCCTAAATCCAAAAAAAAAAAAAAATTTCTTTTTATAATTAAATAAAAAATTTAAAAAAAGTTTCTACTTTTGTTCGAAACCTTGCATCACTCATTTCGGGTCATAGGCAGAGAGCCCTAAAATGCAATTTTAAGAACTTCTATGGGTTTGTTCTTGAGATAGGAACAAATCAATGCACTATTAGCTTCCACAAATTTCTTTACTTTTGCCATCATTGCCAATTCATTCACTCATTTGATTCAAGACTTGTTCCAGAACAATTTTCTATAATATCTATATAAAAAAACACTAATTAAACAAAAAAATACAAACTAATTTACAAAAAAATCTAACTAACTATTATCCATGCAACATGTAACAAATATTTTAGATAAATATTTTAAAAAATTACTAACATGCGAACCAATTTGGAAAGAGAAAAGTTGTTGTCCTTTATCCTTAATGTTAAAATGACATAGACAGAGAGATAATTAATAATTCAATGGTAATAAAATTGTACAAAAAACTTAATTTGTCATTTTGGTTGAATCTACTACTCACATCTAGAACTTTTCAAATATATCACTATATTTCCCTGCACAAAAAATAAAAATACAGTTTATACCCTCAAACATAAAAACAAAAAAAATCGTGTTAATAACACCAAAAAGTAAGCAAATTTTTAATCAAAATTGAGCTTTTAAGAAAAATATTTTTGATTAAAAAAGTAAATATTGATGATTGAAAAAAAATATGAACTAGGTTTGTTTTAGCTACAATGAAAAAAACACAAGTTTATTGGTCGACAATGTTGAAACCTAAAGACCTATTAAAAAAAAGGCAAAAGCAAGAAAAATAAAGAAAGGTAAAATATGAAAAAGAGAAAGAAAGTAATAGAATGAAGTTCAAGGGTTGTGAAAAAAAAGGTGAAAGCTTTCATAGACATAAAAAAATAATTAAAAAAAAACAAAAAAACAATTATTGAATCGAATAAAGAATTAAAGCCTAAGAAAAAAAACTAATTGTCATCACTAGGATCCTCAAGAGATCCTTTTTATATAAGGCAATATTGATGGCTTCCAACAAAAAAAAATATTTTTGAATAATAAATATATAAAACTTTTAAAAATATAAAAATATAAGTAAGTCAAACGGTAAAAAAATTTATCAAGGGAAAAAATAGTCCTACCATTAAAAAATAATGGGTCATGAAAAAATATTTTATAACATTAAATATTAAAAAATAATAATATTTTAAAAGTTGAAAAAGAAAAAAAAATGAAAAGAAAAATTAGTCTCACAAAAAGTAGCAAGCCTCAGTCGAAAGTAATAAATTTAATTTAATAATATTATATATTAAAAAATTAAAAAAAATAAATAAAATAAAACAAAAAAAATCCAACAAAAAATAATGAGCTCCACTTGAAAATAATAAAATTAATTAAATAATTAAAAAATAACAAAAAAAGGAAAGCGAAAACCGGATAAAAAATATGGGTCCTAAAAAAAATGATGGACCCCATTTGTAAGAGACAAATATTAATAAAATATATAAAAAAAAAAGCAAAAAAAAAATAAAGGCCTCTACAATAGCCCCGAACATTTGCCACATTTGTATGTTAAATATTTAAAAAATTAAAAAATAATAAAATAATATGAATTTTTCTTTGCATTTCAAAAAGCCCAAATTCTTCAAGAATAAAAAATATATAATTTATAGCACGAGAAAAGAAAAGGGCAGAAAAAAATGAACTCCTCCTTTTTTTTTTTGCAAGCATCGGTATCATCGAAAACGGCAAAATCTTTCATTTCCATCCATTCATCTCCTTTCTTTTTTCTTTTTTCTCTTTTCGCTCGAGCCTTTCACCTCCTTTTCTTTGTGGTAATATTTTTTTATTAACTTTCAAGTGATAATGCAATAATGGTGTCTGTGGGTGGGTGGATGAGTAGGTGAGTAGATGAGTCTGATAAAGACCTTGAAATTTTTTACACGGGAAGAGATGAGATGATTATAGGAGAAGGGGAGAACAAAAGGGAAGGAAATAAGAGAAAAAAGAGAGGTTAATATGGAATGGATACGTGTAAAGCAAAATATGAAACATTTATACATTCAATTAGTGAATTATTATGCGTGTAAAGCATAATATGCAACATTTTAAGATTCGATGAGTGAATTATCGTGCCTTAAATTTAATTTGAGTAATTGGTGTTACTAAAAGAATGATTAGGACAGTAACTTTAAAAAAGAAAAAAAGCAAAAAATGAAGTTGAAATCATGAATGAGTAGTACATTTTGGAAGATAGTGATGATTTGTTGACTCGTGGCCATGAAAGTCATAACAAGATTTCTGCCATAATTTATACTAAAACAGAAGCTTCAGCTCCTAAAACCATATCTGTGATCCACATTTCTTCTTCAGAAAACTCAAAAAGTAGTATTACTGCTTTTGAGTCCAACCAATCTAATCCAAAATTATTAGGTTTGATGAAAGCGTGTTCAATTCACATGCAAAGACGGCCCTGTTTAACTAACGTTTCGGTGAGTCTAAACTTCGTTGTTTTCTTCATTACTTCGTGTCTTTCTATTTGGGTATTTTAATTTCAATACGGGGTTTACATTAGAATTTCACTAAAATAGCCATGGACTCGGTTATATCTTTCTAAAAGTTTCTGGGGTATCTGCTGCTTTTGAGTTGATTGTCTTTTATGCTACTGAATTTTCTGGGTTCTTTCGACATTTGACTTGAATTTATGACAGGTCTGGAGCTCAAAACTCTTCACTTAGAATTTAGAAAGCAATGTTCTGTTGGGTTTTACTCATAAGCTGCTCTGTGCAGTTCTTTTGGGCGGGAAACTGATGGCATGAACTGGAGTGCCTGTACTGAATAAGATTTTGGAGGTTTGGGATTCTTGCAAGGATATTATTGTTTTTATTGATCAGAAACAATGGCCTTGGCTTCTTCTGTTAAAGTGGTTCTTGGCTCAATTGCCTTTGCAATCTTCTGGGTATTGGCAGTTTTCCCTGCTGTCCCATTTCTACCAGTTGGGAGGACGGCAGGGTCCTTACTAGGGGCCATGCTTATGGTTTTGTTCAGAGTAATAACTCCAGATCACGCATATGATGCAATTGATCTCCCAATCCTTGGTCTTTTATTTGGTACTATGGTTGTCAGTGTCTATCTTGAAAGAGCAGATATTTTCAAATATTTAGGTAAGTTGCTTTCATGGAAAAGCAAAGGAGCTAAGGACTTAATTTGTAGAATCTGCCTGATTTCTGCCATTTCAAGTGCTCTTTTCACCAATGACACCTCTTGTGTGATCTTGACTGAGTTTGTGTTAAAAATTGCAAGGCAACATAATCTACCCCCTCATCCATTTCTGCTTGCCCTTGCCTCAAGTGCAAATATAGGGTCTGCAGCGACTCCAATTGGAAATCCTCAAAACCTGGTTATAGCAGTTCAGAGTAAAATTTCCTTTGGGGATTTTGTCCTTGGAATTCTACCCGCAATGCTAGTGGGAGTCTTAGTGAATGCTTTACTTCTTCTATGCATGTACTGGAAATTGTTATGTGTTCAGAAGGATGAAGAAGACGCAACTGGAGAAGTTGTAGCTGAAGAAGATGTGATTTCTCATAGGTTTTCACCAGCTACAATGTCGCATTTTCCGTCTTTGAACTCTCAAGAATGGAACTCAAGATTGGAATCCATGAATGTGCAAAGCTCTCCCAACGGGAATGGAAGCACAGCTCATCTTGACACCCTTAGAAACCGAGTAATTTCAGCTGATCAGAATGAAATCCAGAGGGTACCTAGTGGTGCAACTGATTCTGCAAAGAATTCAAATGCATCAAAGGAGGCAACAGCAGATGCTGTTGCTTTAAAGATGATTGCAACAGCGGATAGCTTGAAAGACGTACTTTCTGTGCAATCTTCAGAAGAAAAGGAAAACTTATCCACAAGGTGGAAAAGGAGGTTTTGGAAATTCTGTGTTTACTTTGTTACCGTAGGGATGCTGATTTCTCTGCTTATGGGTCTCAATATGTCCTGGACTGCAATTACCGCAGCACTTGCTCTTGTGGTTCTTGATTTCACGGATGCTCGGCCTTGCCTAGAAAAGGTTTTTCAAAAAATGAAATCAGATTTCAAAACTAAAAACATATTAGAGAAAAGCAGGATTTTCAATGTTATAGTTAATTAATTAAGCTCAATTATTTTCTGTGACCAGGTGTCCTATTCGCTTTTAATTTTCTTCTGTGGAATGTTTATCACGGTCGAGGGGTTCAACAAAACTGGAATTCCAAGTAGCCTTTGGTACTTGATGGAACCCTATGCAAAGATCAATCATGTTTCAGGGAAAGCAGTTCTAGCCATTGTAATACTTGTCCTGTCGAATTTGGCTTCAAATGTACCAACTGGTATGTTGATGCTTTTCTCCTGTGAACACTTATCAGTTCTGTACTGCCACCTTTATGTAGTTGCTTACCGCTAACATGATTAATATTACCAGTTCTCTTGCTTGGAGGGCCAGTGGCAGCATCGGCAGCTGCAATTTCTGCATCTGATGGGAAGAAAGCATGGCTTATTTTAGCCTGGGTTAGTACTGTTGCTGGGAACTTGTCACTATTGGGATCAGCTGCTAACTTGATAGTTTGTGAACAAGCTCGTCGTACTCCACACCTTGAATACACATTGTCCTTCTGGAAACACCTTAAGTTTGGAGTTCCTTCCACGCTTATAGTCACTGCTATTGGTTTGACACTCATTAGATGATTAAATAAATGTACTTAAATAAGAGGCTTATATAATAAGAATGGAAGAAATCCCGCTTCTAGTTTCTTTTGAGCATTTCTCTCTAGAGATTGGGGAAGATCAAAAGCTGCAATGTTTCACAAATGAGGCATGGTAACTGGCAGCAAATGTAAATTGGCTTGCTCAAATTTTTTTTTCAAATTGACTAGCTATGAACTGATTGATGTGAGACGCTTGAGGGATATCAAAGCATGATTTCGAATCAGATTTTTTTTTTCTTGTGTTAAGACTTTGTTCTCGTAACGTATGGTTTTAAACTTTTTCTTCTAGCAAAAATGGAAGAAAGAAAGGGTCACAATATTCTGCAAAAGGTTTGATCACTTTGAAGTTTCTTTTTCCCTTGTAGCCATCAATATGGTAGTATGTCAAGTTAATAAACACTGCCTTGGATAACCGTACAGTTTGAGCTTGGGTATGCTTTGCCCAGTGCCTTTTTTTCTGTTTTCACAAAGTTTAGGCTTGGCGTTGAGGCGCGATTACATTCCAAAAACTAACAAAAGGCTACTGGATATTCCAAAAAACTAACAAAAATTACTGTATAGTCATTTGGATTTTGCACGATTGCTCGATTTTTCCTACGTTTGGCCACCGACATTTATGGTTCAGTTGCTAAACGCCCCTCCTATCTTTTTTTTTTTCCTATTTTGCCCTTTATTGATACCTAAAGACAAAAATATCCTTACAAGAAACTCTTTATTTTTATTTTTTTAATTTTTAATTTGAAAACTATAAAATAATTTTATTAATTTAATATAATAAAAATATAATTTTATTATTTATTAGTTTTATAAATATTAAATAATTTAAAAATTTTATTATATATAATTTTTATTCAATATTTTTAATAACCATTTTAATTTTATTATTTTAATAATTAATTTTAATATTATAATAATTAATCTCATGTTCGTTATTATTTTTAACATCATTAGTCAATCTTATCTTCACCCTCAGTTTTATAAAGATTTGGGCCCCCTTTTTAAAAACTTGAACTACAATTTTGAGCCCTTTATTCTCAAGCCTAACAGGCAACCCAAGCCCTAGTGTATTATTCAATATGCATTTATTAAGGTTTAATCTCTTTTTTTTTTATTCTTAAATTTTTGATTTAATGACTAAAGATATTTAAAAAAATATTAAAAGTTTAATTTTGAATCAAAATTTTTTTTATTCATATTAAATTCTTTTCTTCCCGATATAACAAAAAAACAAGTCCCTTTTTCTTTAACCGTGAGTTTAGCTCTCTTTGTAAACACAATACAAATAGTAAATAATTTGTTTAGGCTTACCCAAGGGAATCTCGCATGTATAGGCCGCCGCTAAAATATTGAAATGGCGATGCCACATTTGAAGCAGTTGATCTTAGCCATAAAAATTTTTATTTCCAAACGAGTTGTCAACAACCTGTGGTGTTATAGTTGTTACATGTACCTTTCCCTCAATAACTAGTGTCCGGTCCTATTATGTCAGGATCAAATTTTTTAATTTTAAAATATAAATTAATTTTTTATTTTAATATAAATTATAATTGTTTAACTCATTTGATTATTTTTAATAAAATATCATATATCAAAATTTATAAAATAATGTCAATTTAATAATTTAATATGTGATTAATTTTATATTATGTTAAAATTTAATACATAATTTAATAAAAATATTATAATAATTTTGAAACAAAATATTACATATTAATATTTTATAAAACATTCATAAGAGTATTTACATAATTATGATATAAGAAGTATTACAATAATTTTGATCAATTATGATAAGAAAAATATTCTTATAAATATGATATGAGGGGTATTATAATAATTTTAATCAAATATGGTAAAAAGGATATTTTGTAATTATAATAAGAAAACATTATAATAATTTTGGTCAATTATAGTGGGAAGGTATTTCTATAATTATAGTACAAGAGTATTATAATAATTTTGATTAATTATGTGAAGAGGAGTATTTCTGTAATTATTATAAACAAGTATTATAGTAAATTAGAATACGTGTCAAAATTATATCAAATAAATATAGAGGTATTATAGTAATTTTTATGAAAATTATTTTAATATATGTTATTTAACATTTAATAAGTTATTTAATAGCGTATTATAGTAAATTTTAAAAAAATTTCATGTCAAATTTTAGTCAATTATATTGGAAAGATATTTTTATAATTATTGTAGAAAGATATTATAGTAATTTTAAGTAATTATAAGAAGATAAGTATTTTCGTGATTATGGTAGAAAAGCATTGTAGTAAATTTGAATACATATTGATATTATATCAAATAAACAGAGGGTTATTATAACAATTATTAATAGAATTGTTTTATTATATGTTATTAGGAATGGTAGCCTAATCTGTACTTGACAAGTTTTGATTTGACTCGACCTTTTAGGGTTGATTTTTTTTTTTTGAAAATTAGATTTCAGCTCAGATAATTGTAGAATAAAATCGGGATTAGGTTTTAGGCAAACCTGCCCTGACCTTATCTGGTATATATATTATTTTTTAATTAATTAATTAATTATATGTATATTTTTATATATTTATTTAATTTTATATTTACATTAAAAAATAATATTTTATATTAAAAATATTTTATTAATTTTAGGTCGGATCAGGTATAAAAAAATTAAAAAAATTAAAAAAAATCAGATCGAGTTGGATTTGAGGTGAGCAAAAACCTTCCCTTCCCCGACCCATTACCATCTCTATATGTTATTGATTTTGAAACAAAATGTCACATGTTAACTTCTTATTAAGCATTCATAAAGGTATTTTGTAATTATGATAAGAGGGGTATTATAGTAATTTTGATCAATAATAAGAGAATGAATACCTTCGTAATTCAATAATAAGTGAATGGATATTTATGTAATTATGATATGAGGGTATTATATTAAATAATTATAAGAGAATGAATATTTTTGTAATTATAATATGAGAAAATAGTAGTCAATTTTATGAGAGGGGATATTTTTCTAATTATGGAATAAGGGTTTATAGTAAATAATTATAAGAGAAGGGATATTTTTGTAATTATGATGTGAGCATAAAATTGTAATTTTAGACATGTGTCATTTTCTTATCAAATAATGTGAAAGGTAATTTGGCAATTTCATTAGGGATTTTTTCATTATATGTATATTATAATAATTATTAAGGGAATTGTTTTAATACATGTTATTAATTTTGAAACAAAATGCCACATGTCAACTTCCTATTAAGTATTCATAAAGATATTTTCGTAATTATAGTAAGTGGGGTATTATAGTAATTTTGATCAATTATGAGAGAAAAGTATTTCCATAATTATAAGAAGAGGATATTATATTAAATTTGATCAATAATAAGAAAAAGGTATTTTTGTAATTCAATAATAAGTGCAAGGGTATTTTTGTAATTATAATATGAGGTATTATAGTAAATAATTATAAGAAAATGGTATTTTCATAGTTATAATTTGAGAGCATAACAATCAATTTATAATAAGTGATATTTTTGTAATTATGATAAGAGGATATTATTGTAAATAATTATATGAAAATGTATATTTCGTAATTATGATATGAGGACAAAATAATGATTTGGACATGTGTAATTTTCTTATCAAATAGAGTGGTACTATTTACACCTTAAGTTATTCTCTTAATACCCTACTACTATTAACACTCAATTTTTTACTCAACATATCTCAAATCCAAAACACAAATTTATTAAAAACCCAAATACCAATCTCTTCACGCCCTATCTCCCTTAATCGAAAACCTAAACCCTTGAAGGAATAAGCTCCAGATTAAGCTTCAATCACCCATTTGATGTTAGATAACTTAGAATTAGAGGTAAATCATTCATTTTTTTTTATTTTTTCATTTGATTTTGTGTTTAGTTTAAAAAGATTTAGGATTTTAAGTTTTTGGATGTGATTTAAGGTACGATTCGAACATTTGAAAATGAATTTCTAGAAATTGTTAAAGATTTTCTAAAATAGATATCCAGAATCGTTCAAGAACTTTTGAAAATTTATTTCTGGAATCCCTTAAAGGCTTTTAAACATCCATTTTCAAAAACTTTTAAGAATTTTTGAAAGTGTATTTTCGACATTTCTTAATGGTTTTCGAACGTTTATTTTTGGAATCTTTTAAAAATTTTTGAAAATGGACTTTTAATACATAATAAATTGGCAGCGTAATGAACATTAACCCTCACAATGTTATCAACAGGCTAGAAAATTCGACAATAAGGACCTCTAATCTTTTGGTTACGGTACTATCCATTTAATAATATTTGTAATATTTTTGTAATTTTGAAAAATATGCATCTGAGAGGAATCATTAAATGTGAAGAGACGCTTATGCAATTTGGCTATTGCATTATATGTAATGGAGTGTGACTGTCTCATTGCATATGGTGCAATAGCCAACTTGCATGAATGTCTCTTCATAATTACCAATTCCTCTCAGATGTATGTTTGTCAAAATTACAAAATATTGCAAACTTTATTGAATGGATAATGCTCGGTGACTAAAAGATTAGAGATTTCTATTACTGGATTTAAATAGCCTATATTTTGAAGAAATCATTAGAAACCTATTTGGAGATCACAGCAAGAGACATTCAATATTCTCGTGCTAGACATTGACTAAGAGATTGCAACAAAGAAACTAAAGTAAAAAATTACTCTCAGAAATGAATTTTCGTATAATTATAATACTTTTTGGAAATGAATTTTCAGATAATTGTAATGTTTTCCAAAAATGCATTTTTTGGTATAGTGAAGAACTTTTCAAAAATGAAATTTTGATAACTTACTGAGAAGGGGTGTGAATGATAAAAAGGTAATTAAGTAATGGGTATTTAGTAATTTTCTTAAAGGTTAATTTTTTGGGGTGTATTGAGAATTTTTAGGTGTAAATAGCACTACTTATTAAATAATGTGAAAGGCAAGTTAGTAATTTCTTTACGGATTTTTTTTATTATATGTATAGATTTCATGTCTATCCTCAAAGTCTTATTACTTCTTAAACTCTAAAAAGTGAGAGAGAGAGTTGAGAGGCAACCCAAAGTACATTTAAGATGATCCTATTCTTGAAAGTGCTTAGTATTCTCAACTAAAAGGAAAAGTTGATTCCAAGTAGGGGATTTAGTCAAAGTACTGTCAACAGCTTTGTAATAACATTTTTGCTGATAAAACCCACCAATTAATTTTCTAGTTTTTTTCATTGTACTTACTTGAAAAAATAGTATTATTACTTTTTGGTCTTAGTAAAGTGATGTTGC